GCCAGTTGGGGACACCTGATGTAGACTCAAGGAGCAGCAACAGAGGGACCGAAGAGCCGCATGCCGCTCGCAAGCTGCAGGTTGCTGACCCCTGTGCTAGGCGATCACCATATGATGGCAAATAAGTCTTTCAATCTTCATCTGTCATCAGCTGTATGGTGCTGGCATCAATCTAAACATGGACAATGGAATTATTTAAAAAACAGCAATCCTGATTAGATAACCTAATTATTTTTGATAATATTTAGATATCTACAGTTTAATGAAACAGCAAAACAAGAAAGCTCATGTTTATTTTCAGAAACAATAATTTAGAAGCAATAACAAGTGTCTATGAAAAGTACAGTTGTTCGACTCAAATATTCTGCTTTTGCAGTTTAGTACCTTCTCGTGCTCCAGGGTCTCTATTGTTTCCTCAGTGTCACAACCTGGCTCCTAGGCTATGACAAATACGGCAAAGACACAACAGATGATGGTTACGTAAAGTATTTATTTTAACCAAATAAAGAAATAGTTAACTTCATGAAGTGTGTCAGTCAGTAACATCAGTAATGTCAACGTGGATGCGTGTGTGATAAAGTGTGTGTGTTGTCAGCAAAGCCAAACATAACCGGCAGCAAATGGCAGAGATCACTCCACGTATACCAGCGAGACAACCCGCGCCCCCAGAGCAACACTGGAGCAGGGCTTTATGCTCAAGGACCAGGTGCTCTGCATTGGTCAATCAGCCATGACTGCTGTTAGAGGCAGGGCCGTCACATCAGGAATATTTCTCTGTCCCAGGAAGTCACTTAGATTACCCATCCTGTGAGCATGCATTACAAGGAAAGTTATTGGAGGATATCACCATGCATACATCATACACAACAAGAGTCTAGGCTACAGATGAGCTATGATTCTAAGAGGGAAGTGGCATTGTCACTTTGCATTTGTACAGTTTTTTTAAAATCTGTGACACCACTGTGTTCTGCAATGCACCATGGCTAATATTGATATGAATTTCAAAGGCATTGAAACATACAGGTTGGATACTGTAAAACTTATATATAAGGCAAGTCACTTGTTTTGAGGTCTGAGGCAATCGCTCTAACTAGCGGGTTTCAGTAAACACTGCTGCTGTACCTGCAGTAAAGTCTTGGTCAAATACATTTTTGTAACAATAACAGTCTGCTTTTACTATATTAATCTTGGTTCATGCCAACATTTGTTTAAGGATTACAATTTGAATCCCCATTATGAGACGAAAAACATTGATGCAGAGCGGGCACGGACCTCTGAGGCTTTGCTAAGCTAAGCTGCAAAAGCAACATCAGAAGATGTTGGTTCTCTTTGGATCTTCCTACATATGTGAACAAACATTCTCCGTGATGAAGTTTAACAAATACAGACACAGATCTTCTTTCACTGACGATCACATGTCAAGCCCAACACAGACTAGATTTTTCGCACTGAACTGAAAAACAGAAAGTGAGGTAATACTCAAGTAAGTAAAGTACCTTGAAAGTGTACTTAAGTACAGTACTTGAGCAAATATACTTAGTTACATTCTACCACTGATCATAACATTTACTCTTACCACTCACAGCTTATCAAAACAATACAATTTACTGCTTTTTATAAAGAGGTGGAATAATATTGAGCAGGATTGAGTTCAGTCTATTGGTTCGGCCCTCCACAACAGTCCCTGGTTCTAATGTGGCACTTGAGAAAATGAATTGTACACCCCTGTCTTAGAGAGAGAGACACCCAGCACCTCTCCCTTTTCCTTTGATTTTGCACAGGATCAGACTTGTTCACAGGAAAGAGCATCACTGACAACTTCAGGGATTTCAAAGAAGACCTGATGCTCACACATGTGACTGTTACTTGGAGTTGCCACTCAGTTATGACAACTACCCAGATTTTCGACATGAAGTGAATAAAGAACAACCTTCAGCGTCCAATAACTGCAGTAATATTCAAACTGTTTCGTATGTCAAATGTAGGGTAACCTATTCCAAAGAGCTGCTTCTATGACTGTTGTGTTTAAGTATATTATAATTTCTATTTTATATCTCATAATTATGACTTACCAAGGGGATAATTTGGTAACACTTTATAATAATTACACACTATGAAGCATTAGTTGAGTATAAGTAAACACTTAATTCATCATTTATAAAGCATTGTTCCTACATTAACACTCATTAGTATGCAATTCATAAATACAGTTATAAATGTTTTATTCTTCATTAATAAGCTCGTCTATTATGTGTTTCATGATCGTGTTTTCATACTTTATAAATGATGGATTAAGTATGAAAGTATTAAATTAAGTATTATATATATATTACAAACCAATTATTAATGATTAATAAGATCATTTATAAAGTGTAGGTAACTTACATTCAGTTTTCATCTTTTTTTTTTTTTTTCTGACGTAAATGCCCTTCCATAGCTTCTATAGGTTAACATTTAATCGTTAAGAAAAAAAGTGAAAGAAGTAGGAGTTAGAGGTGGAGCATTTGTGCCAACAGCGTCACAGCTCTAAAGGCACAGACGATGTGGGTCACCCGTGTGGTCATCGCTTCAGTTTACGGTGCGATCAGCGTTTTGGGGCTAATCGGTAACATCACGCTCATCAAGACGTTCTGCTCTGCCAATTACATCCGCAATGTGCCCAATATCTTCATGTCCAGTCTCGCACTCGGGAATGTTTTACTGCTGGTGACCTGGGCTCCAGTCGATGCCAGCCGCTATGAGGAGTGGCTGTTCGGGAGAGTGGGCTGTAAAGTCATCCCCTTCATTCAGCTCACCTCTGTTGGGGTGCATGTGTTCACTCTCACTGCTCTCGCTGCTGACAGGTAGGCTACGGTTTCTGTTCTAATCATGTTATTGACCTGTAATCACTTTAAAATAGCCTATATAGCAGCCTAATTAGCCAAACGTCCTATTGTTTCTCACATTATGAAGATAGTCACAGGCAATATGTACAATCTAAATGTTGTATTACCACAATGTAAAGCAACAATGCAACTGTGTATTGATCAGGGGGAGTATTACGCACGAGGGAGCTGTGCGCTTCTGTTCAAGGCTGCTGACAAGTGCGCGCTTGATAGAGGCAAGAGATTCATTGCTGTCAATTTCTAATTTCAAAAGTTTGTTGTTATAAAGAAGACCTTTGCCTGTTTAGGGGATATCAATGTGTTTAAAATCATTGGCTGTGGGTGAAAAACTTGAATGATAGATAGATAGATAGATAGATAGATATGCACTTTATTCATCCCCAGGGGGAAATTTGTATGTTACAGCAGCAAGACACACCAAGAAGCAAAGTAACAGAGTAACCAAAAATATTAAGTATTAAAAAATGCACAATATATACAATAGAATAACAGAGTAGGACAAATTAAATATCAAAATATAGAATATATAAGATAAAACAACAAAAATGCACAGTATAATGAAATAGAATAGTGTTAAATTAACTGACTAGGTGAAAAACAGTAGTGCAAAAATTAAAAATCAACCCCAGCAAACGACAGTGTAGCAGTGTGTAATTATGTGGATGATGATCTGGCCTGAGGTGATTTATTGTAAAGTGTTATAGCAGAGGGCAGGAATGTTCTCCTGTATCTTTCCTTGTGACAGCGGAGCTGGATCAGTCTGTGGTGTAGTTGTATAATGTTTTAAAAACGTGTTCCAGGATGCTTTAATTCACGGTTAGCATACGTGTTTCTGTTCTTCCTCTCATTATTTCCCATCTTTGACCACTTGTTGTGTTTTTTTCTCTCGACCAATGTGGCAGGAACCCCTTATTGCCTCACATACAGTCAGACCTTTGCGCTGTTATAAAAGAAGATGAAAAGATGAAAAGAAAAATGTGAAAATGGGAATACTGGTGAGCTGTATCCTGTGTATTTAATTTACATTTTATTTCTTTAATTATGAATTAACTAAAGAAATAAATTGTAATCCTGCCGTCCTTATACCTGTGGCATAAGGTGAAATTAAAAAGTAAAATCGCTTTGTAACCTGTAAACTTGTCACAGACATAAACATGCATATATCTGTAATCTGAAAAATGTATCTTGGTCCCTCATTCGCAGTTACAGGTAGTAAAAAACTCATCAAAACAATCCCAAGAAATCTGAATTGAATGCTGCAACAACAGGAAGGTGCTCAACGAGGCTGCTGGTGATGCGACTGTTGATGGGTCTTCACTAATATATCTCAGTTATGAAACATATGAAACTAGCAACACACCCGGTAATGTTACACCTGCTCCAGAATTTCACCACTTGTTGAATTCAGTGTGTTATATATATGTTATTGTGGAATGCATGATTTGGTCCCTATAACCCCAGAACTTGGCTGAGAATCATCACGTTTTTTAAGTTTTCTTCAGTATTTAAGTTGTTCAGTGATGTATATCTGTACATCCATGGGTACATTGGAAACATGAACTGCATATAACTTTTTTGGCATACTGTTGTAACCCCCCTGCAGCTGTCGCTTTAGAGACAGTGCAGAATAACAGAAAATAGGGGAATTATCAAATCTAATCTAGGTTTGATGAGGAGATTGGTTAATAGGTCACTCGTCTGACTGCTGCACAGACAAGAAATATCCACCCCGAATTACGCAACCAACAACAGGTTTAATTAGAACACAATATGATGATCCATTCTCCAACAATTCCACATTTCCAAACATCAAAAAGTGTCCAAGCATGTAATATGAAAATCAAAAACACCTCTGAGATCTCAGGAATAAATTAAATTGAAAAAATTATGAAAGAAAGAGCTTAGTTCTCAAATGTCCTACCGCCCCCTCTGTGCACAAACAATGTCCAGCGAAATGGAGTCCAAGTGAACTGTGATGTCCGATTGAGATGAAGATTCCTCTCAGGTGAAGGTAGACCGTAAAATGAATGGAGATGGGGTGAGTGGTGGCAGGCAGGACGGTGGATGGACGACACCTCTGGTTCCAACGAAGAAGCTATACAAAAAAACCAGCCGGGACATCAAATGTTCAAAATTCTAAGAATCTCGAGGCGAAACTGCAGCTCTTCAATGACTCGTCGTTCCACATTCAATATAAAGTTGTTTACTTTATTCTATCGGAATCGAACTAATCTTCTTTTCTCCTCACAACTCCTACCATACTCAAACAAAGATCCTCTATTAAGAGACAGATTATCACTTCTATCGATCTCTGTGCATGGAGTCACAAAGATCGTCTAGTACGGATAAGATTGACTCTCCTAGCACTTTTCTGTGTACAGAGGAAAAAGCGGCTATGTGACCACCTGTCAACCTCACTTAAGGGGACAGTAACATAGTTCCAAAATATAATAATTAAGATCCAGATTAAATTATTATTCTGGTTACACTTTCAATTGTGCCAATTTGCCCGAATGTCAACAATTACAATCTTTTAAAAAACTGTCTCAAGTTGTAACCTACCGAATGAGTTACAATAAGCCACTTTCTGTTTACATCCCCCAAAGCACATTGGGGATTATAGTCCCAAAACATGAACATGATTAACGCAGACGACCCAAAATAAGTGTCAGACTTAAAAAAAACGTTCTCAATAACAGTAATCCATTACCATTAACTTGCAACTTACACATTATTCTTAAATTGAGTTTCCAGACATCATTCAGAAAAACTTTTGGGTTGACCGATTGCTAAAAGAATTGTTTCACTGCTCTCATCAGCGTCGTATCAAAATGAACACCAACACGTTGTGCTAACACCTTTATCTATCCATCCAACTTATATCTCCACATCCATCAGGTACAAGGCCATCGTGAAGCCCCTGGACATGCGAACATTAAGCACCACCACCTGCATTGTCCTGCGTGTGGCACTCATCTGGCTCCTCTCCTTGGTCCTGGCTATCCCCGAGGCCGTCTTCTCTGACCTCCACACCTTCAACGTCCCCTCCACCAATGAGAGCTTCGTCACCTGCGCCCATGCAAGGGAACTGCACCCCAAGATCCACTCCATGGCCTCCTTCCTCATTTTCTACATCATGCCCCTGCTGGTCATATCTGTGTACTACACATTCATCGCCCGGAGCCTGATGAGGAGCGCCTCAAACCTGACTGTGCAGGCCAGTGTTCAAACTACCATCCCTAGTGCGGTAGCTCGGTGATGTACTGAGGTCATGAGACCATTTTAATCTACTGAAACCTAACCATTATGTGTTGATTGTTTTATAAAACTTGGCATGGAATTCACTACGGTTATATCCCCCAAATACCCAGAAATAATACCAATGGCATAACCTCAGTGACCTTAATGGAAGCTAGAGCCCTGGTCATTAGATGCTTGATTTTTTTTTTTTTAAAGGTGCACTGTGTATTATTAGAAGTGTGAATCTTCACTGGCCCCATGATTCAATCCGATCACCATTACTGCACATGAATACTTTTTCATCAATTAATACAAGCACTCAGACAAATCTGAACTCACATTTTATTTACAAAGGGCTTTCAAAAATCAGACTATAACAGTCTATGACATAAAAAGCTGCATCGTTTCAATACAATCTCTGTGAGGCAGTTCATACACATAACAAAAACAAAACGTAAATCATTCTGCAGTGCATCACAGTCTGCTGTTATCTACAAAAAATAACGTTTACACACAGCAGCTCTAGGACAGGGCACTGAGTGCCATTTTACACTGCATGAATTAGCATTGTGGATTTAACTTAACTAATGAAATAGTCTACAAACTAACAGCAGGGCAAGATCATTTCATTGGTCAACACTACACCTGGGGAATTTTGACGGGGTTGTTGCACAAAAACTATTCAATCCAAGAGCAGACGTTTCATGAGCACACAGACGCAGCCCACGTGTGAGGAGAAGGGTCGAAGCTGGAGCCCGCAGAGAATCTGTAATCTCTCATACATCTGAGTGCAGCACACAGTTTTAGCCAAAATCCAAGCGCAAGCAGCGGCTATTTGAGTTTGTGGACAGGGTTTCGAATCAAAATCTGAAGTGAAATGAGTCATGCTCTCAAATTGAAAGCATATTCTGGAATAAAGAGAATACAAACTTATAATTATAATGCATAAATAAGTGATGGTAAGTAACTATGTCCATTAACTGAAATACTGTACAATTTTGAGGTACTTTAGTTGAGTATTCAAATTTATTTTTCAGAACAGGCAATATATTTATAAATATGGTACAGATTAAGCAACCCAACGGTACATAAATTATTTACTAGTAACTTAACCTCCACCAGCTATAACATGAAAATGTAGCTTACACAGTAATACATCAGTAATGATAATAACAATTGATGAAGAAAACGTGTTCTTCTTGTACGAATAAAAGAATAAAACTTGTTCAGGCCAAATTGACCTGAGTTGCGTATACGTTTTATTACAGTCCATAAATCAGAGAAGCCTTGAGTACAGATAGCACACATGGGTACAGTCTCCACCAAAGACTTCAAAGAAAAACCTTAATATGTCCCTATTTTATCCTATACCCTTATATAATATATTATATGAGATATCATCTGAGTAGACCCAGTGTGTCTCTACTCACCAGATAGAACCAGTCTGTACACATGTGATCCAAGGTTCTGCTATTCATGACCTCATATTTAATACTTACATAATCAATATCTCTACTATGATACGTTATTCTTTCTATCACACAAATAATCCAATATATAAAAAACTGATACTGAAAGAGGTAATTCTGCTTCACAATGAGCCCTTTTACATTTGAGTAGATTGAGTACAAAGTACATTTTGCTGTTGATACTAAGTAGAATTTTGAATGCAGGACTACGTAAAAAGATCTAAACACCTCCTCCACCTATGGCAAAAATACACTTAAATGTTAAAACACTAATGTCTATCATATGCCAGCATTGTTCTTTGGTTTTGACAGGGTTTTTTCTACACCCAACAGGTCAAATCAAGAAAGCGCTTAGCCAGGACAGTGCTGGTGTTTGTTGGTCTCTTTGCAGTGTGCTGGCTTCCCTGTCACGTCATCTACTTATACCGCTCCTATCACTACTCGCAGGTAGGCTGCACAAAAAAAACCACATGTTTATTCTATGTGTTTCTATCCACTCGGTGTGTAACAGTTATTATCTGTATCTGTTTATTTCACAAAAAGATTTGTGTCTTTATTCTGATCTCTGTCTACTGGATCATCGTCTTTACCATTTATTTTACTGCCATTTAAGTTTCACATAAGTTTAACTTGTAATTTGTAATATACTATTTTAACCACGTAATATGAATGTATCATATTTTAGCTCCTAAAAATCACAACCTCTATGTCTCTTCATCATTCAAACCAATGTTTCCCAACCCTCCACCCTACCTCTCTACGACCAGGTGGACACTTCCCTGGTTCACTTTGTGTGCAGCGTCGTCGCTCATATCCTGGCCTCCACCAACGCCTGCCTCAACCCATTTGCCCTTTACCTCCTGAGTGACAACTTCCAGAAGGAGTTCAATCAGCAGCTGTGCAGCTGCTCAGAGAGCCCCACTCATAACATGCATGTGACATATGTCTGCAACACACGTCACTCCGGCCTGAGCATGATCAACCTGAGACAGGTCTATCCGGAGGATTGCATGTGAGGGACGTGCGTTTGTGTGTTTTTGCTTCTTTGCTTTTGAGTCAGTGACCCCATTACTATTTGTACTGTATGTTTTCACAAAACAGTTTGATCATAAGAACCTTGCATAAAGATATATAGTTGAGTTATTGTACCAAAAGGGGTACTCCAATGTTTGAATATTGCACTTTTATAAAGAGAGAGAGAGAGAGAGAGAGAGAGAGAGAGA